CTTGATGGACTTGGCAGCGAGGCCCTTGATGGACTTGGCAGCGAGGCTCCTGATGGACTTGGCAGCGAGGCTCTTGATGGACTTGGCAGCCCGTTGTGTGGTGTGCAGTTCATGTTGCCATGCTCATCGGCAGTGGATTTTCTGGATTCTTCTTTTCCTCTGGAAAAAGATCACAATAAATCCATATTTTCTGACGAACCTAACTTTGCTCTGACGACCGAGAAGTGGGCGGTGACGCCTGGCCACGACTCGACTGGAACTGACAGTGGCTGTAGCTTCGGTGAAGACTTGGATATTCATAATTCGAGTTCGACTTCTGGTGACAACAGCGAACTTCCTTTGGCAGATATGGAGACGCAAATATTTAATGAAATGATGGAGGAAACGAGGGCTCAGAGTAAGACTAAATTACTCCAGAAGATTCATGAAATGCCTTGCAGATGGTCTAATCTGTGCGACGAACTACAGAACAATTTTTGGGGTTCACGTCTTGTAGAAATGAGCGTAGATTTGAAGTTAACCCTCAATGAGCGTGATCCTAATGCCATGTTGAAACTCCCAAAAAAGGAATTGTATGCTAAACTATGGAAACTTGTTTCAAATTGTTCTGCTCTACTTGCTAACGTGGTCAAAACCTCGTATATCCTAGTTACCAATGCACGTGAAGGTAATATTGGTCAATATAATCGCTCTGCACAGTGTTGGAGGTCAAATTTGGCGGAGTTAGAGCTCCATCAACAACGCTTGCTGGGGATCTTGGCTGCCTTGTATCGCCAGACCAACAGGTATTCGTTGCTGATCGACAGGCTCAGATTGACGCAAGTGGAAGAGGCGGTTAATATTCTGGTCACGAATGTCAAACAAGGTTTCTTTGTGCCATTTGAAATTCCTTTCCTGGTGGAGTACTTAAGGTCCCTTTGGAATGATGTTAGTTTATTGATGACAGAGGTAAGTCAGAATCTTAGGCGTATCATGTGCCAGACGCTGGATTCATAGCAGTTGGTTACAAACTCGGGAGTTCTTATGTGGCGCCGTGGAATTGTCAAAATGCAACCTCACTTCGATGAAGCGCTCGGAAATGGAAGTCCTTAAGTATGACAATTCAGCAACCGCTTCTGCCCAACTGAAAATCATGATCTGTGTCATAAGAAATGTGTTATTGGCACTGAGGCATGTCATTTTGTGGACAAAGATAAACGAAACTCTGTTAAAAGATCCTTCGATCGTCCTCGGAAGAGGTTTCATTATGACATTTATGCTGCGCGACATACGTGAATTAGACCATTGTTTCAAAGGAAAATGGAATTTCTATATTGTTTATCGTCAGCTTATTTCTTTTCTCATTAGGCACTTGAAACTTGCCTGTAATTAATCGACTGTACAAGAATTTGTATGAAAAGCTTTTTCCTTAATTTAAATTCTGAAAAATTTTAGTCCGAATTAACTAAGTGACAGTGGCTTTGGGTCAAAACCTCCTTGCATTTTATCACGTGAAATTTCATTTTTGTCTAGTGTGGTTAAGCTTAATGACGTGAGCATTACGCGAAATTTTAAATAGGTATTCTTCATAGGATTTTAAGAGTTATTCATACTTCACATAAATGTTTTTAGAATTTCTATGGATTTCATTAGCGTCTTGCAAATTCATATTTCACCAGATTTTACGAAACTCTGAGGTTTCAGTAATTGTCGATTTCTTGGCAGATGTAAGAATTTTCTCCAGCAAGTTTTACTACCCTATGTTTGTATGAAGATAATTTTTGGGCAATTGTACAAGCGCCCAAAGCCTTTCTATTGAACTTAGAATTTTAATAGTATAAAGCTTTAACCCAAAAGATCGTTTATTGTGCCCAATTAACGCTCGAAGGCAATGGAACGTTGCTGTTGGACGATTTTGAGTTAGTCTGTGTAATACATAACGGGTAACCTTGAAATGCCTGAGTTGTCAATAATTGATTGGTTGCAAGAATTGCAAAGCAAACGGCTTTTTACTTCCCTATATATCTACTTTCTCAATACATCATCAATAAGAATGGAAGAATTCCCTACCTACTTCCCTACCTACTTTCTCAATACATCGTCAATAAGAATTTAAAAAATAAAGAATAATAGAATGAGTGTCGTTTTTACATCCTCAATCGATGCTAGCGATCACCAAATATATATTTGGTCCTCATGGAAGGTATACACATTTTTCTCAGAACAGGAATAGCGTTGAAGCGTTCCATATTGCGAGTTGTACAGCGTGGACCTGAAATGATTGCAAGAAAATATATTTACTTGTCTCTGATTAATGATTATAAAGAAATACCACGTCTAACTGTGCATTTTATGTAGACACAAACTTCCGCGTTAGAATACCTTGCTTCGTGCAGCGTAGAACCGATATCAGAGTTGAATAAAATGATCGCCATGTGTACGGTCGAAATATAAGTAAATATTATGACTCGTAAGTTCGGTCGGCTCGTATGGCTGGACTTGGTGATACTGGTCCAAATTTGGCCCATAAGACGGAAATTTAGGTTCATAGGTAGATGACCAATCGGATGCCAAGCAGCTAATTATTTGGATTTACAAAGAATTGTGCTAAGTTGTGAAACTACCCAAATCGATATGTTGCGTGGCCCAGTCTAGTATGAACGGTTCGCATTCAATGGAGCGTAAATATTGTTACATCAACATTACAAGTGCATGCTTTTGATTGGCCCTAATACGCAGATGCGAGCGTTGTTCTGATCTTTGTTATCTCACGTTGCACGGCCTTACGGAAAGGACCCCAGGCCCAGCGATGCTGATGTTTAGATGAAGGAATAAACTTTTTTTCTACCAAAACAAAATCACGAATTTCAAATTTGATGCCATGGACCAATAAATAAAGAAAAAAGCTTCACGCACTGTGAAAACTACCTGAATAATGAAAATAGTAAATTAACTGAATTGGGAAGTCGTTTAGACTTCACAGAAAAGACAATGCCATACAGTAGCAGTCGCTGAGTCTAGATTCGAAGACCTCTGAATCGTCTTAAGCGGTCTCATAAATGTTTACAAATATCAGGTCTTTCTGATGTTTTTACAGTCATATTTTGACTAGCGATCCATTTACTGAACAATATTCTACTAAATCATTGTTATTAAATTGACCTTTCCGATTTTTTTGAGTTTAATTTAGATTGACGGTTACGAGATTGCGATTATGAACACATCGGAAATTTTAAATAAGGAATTTAAAAGCAAAGAAAACGCCAAGAAAATTCACCATATCGATATTGAAAACCTTTCGGAGTCCAGCTCCATCATCAGTTCGACAAACTAAAAATGAATAAAATTATATTATAAATCAGAATTTAAGACATATATAAAACCTAAACAAGACCTAACATTATATCGAAAAAAACAGGACTAGATTGGAACAACTTAGTCTTAGGTGTGCGACAAGAATATAAAAGCCTAGCGATTCACTATTTCCAGATTATATGAACTAAACGCATTATTGAGACACAGTTTTCGCTTGAAGATATGTAGAGACTGCAAAATTCCCAATGCTCGCGAGCAGCCAGAAAAAAAAAAAGATTTTATTCATTTATAGTTTAGTCGAACTGATGATGGAGCTGGACTCCGAAACGTTTTCAATATCGATATGGTGCATTTTCTTGACGTTTTCTTTGCTTTTAAATGCCTTGTGAACTTGCGATATAAGCAGACTGATAATATAAATTTTAAATACATTTGGCCATCAAGCTTTTTAAAAAAAAATCGATTCCAAATCGGCTGTAAACAAATGAATGCGTTTGAATTTGCAAAACTGCAACAATTAATAATGGCAGTACATTAAATTCTTCCTAAGTATATACCTTAGTCAATGGTATTTTCAATTAATTAAAAAATGCTAATAAATTTTCGTGTTGATAATCTTTTTTCTGATATCTGAACCAATCATCCGTTTTACTTGTCTTAGTCTGCCGTCCAAGCTCGAATTTTATCTTATGATGCAGCGGCCATTTCTCGGGTTGAAGGGCCAGGCTACGGTGACAGATATCTTTTATAATTTGTACGTCTGCGCTTGCGCGGCATTTTATGCTGATGGTGAAATGTGCTAAAGGTGCGAGGAAGTTTAGTTAGTAACGTACACGTTCGACAACACTTGTTCACGGTTCGTGTTGGGTTGTGAAGTCATGAGTTAAGTTTGCCATACGTGACGAAGTGTGGTGTTATTAGACATATCTTGTGGGGATGAACTTTTGCGTTGAACAATGACTATTAAATTTAAATTTCGATAATTCATAGAAATAGCTTGCTGTCAAATTTTGTGCATTGACGACTCTAATCAACCAGCTCAGTAACCATGGCGGGTTGATGGTATCTTAGGCGACTATTCGTTGAAATTTACCTCCCACTTCTGTGTTGTGGTAGTTCGATGGGTTTCACTATTGGATTATTTAATTTACACGAATATTTTCTGCGAATTGATCCTAGTTTTCAACGAAAAGTCCAATTTACTTTCGGTCGTGGTTGAGTATTGACAGAATATTCATCTGGAATTTATTGGAATGACGTTAATTTCTGTAATTAACGTGTTTTTAAATTACTAATTAAATTTTGCCCATTTCGCCTTTAGGTTACCAACATCTACCCATTTCCAGAACTGGTGAACGTTTGAATATTTTTCCTAATGGATATGCTAGTAAGGGCGCTTTTATGCCTCCTCCTATTTTGGTTTTGCTACGTAAGTCAGATCACTGATTCTACAAAGAATCCTTCATTCTGGTCCACATACATTGGAATCATATTAATGTGCTTATGTAGCCTAAAATTGCAAATTCTAACATTTGAAGATTGGATTAAATGCGACTTACAGAAAAAAAACTTCTCGAAATTTTCGAAATCTACCTTTAATATGAAGAACTTGGCTGAAGCTAAGGATCGCGGCAATTCGGTAATAGACGTAAAAAAAGAGTTCTACGAGGAAGTTTTTGAAAGTTTGTCAGACTTGCGTTCGGGAATATTGAAGAGCCCAATGATCTGGTGTGAACCGTGTATCTATGCAGTTATTGAATCTGATCACGATGAAATGCTGAGTTCAGATTCTTCATATATCAGTGAGAGCAGCAGCCAGGATTTCTCTCCTCCACCAACAGAGGTTAGTACGCAGGTGGGTTCAGAGGCTAATGGAGTGTCACAAATCCAACCGTCGTGCGCGAGTGATCTACATGGAGAACCTAACCAAGCTTCCAACGGTGCATTTGCAGCGACTATAGGGGCATCTTCTGGGAGTGACAAGGGGGTTCCTCCTGGAGAAACGGTGTGTTTGACCGAGGCAGAGAAAGTAAAATCTGGTTCGGACCAATTGCCGCCTAAACTCCTTGCCATCTCCGAAGCTAGTGGAGGAAAAACGAAAATGACAACGAGCTGTACATTGATGAAAACTGGCTTGACGAAACCATCGTATGGGAATTCTTCGTCATCGATTGGGATTTCAACGTTGGATAAAGCGAGCACGAAGCCAGTGAATATGCAAACAACCAAAGCTCCTCGAACGATAACGTCAGGAGCGAATGTTCAAAGATCTGCGTCATGCTTGACCAAAAGTGGCGTAGTTGCGGGTGCTGCCATGAAAAGTTCCACAACTGCCTCGGATCTGAGACCCCACACAGCCATTAGAAATGCAAGGCCAGGTTCTGTCAAGCCCTCGGCACCAGGACTTGGTTCTGCAAAGCCCTCGGCATCAGGGCTGGGTTCTGCAAAGCCCTCGGCATCAGGGCTGGGTTCTGCAAAGCCCTCGGGATCAGGGCTGGGTTCTGCGAAGCCCTCGGCGTCGGGCCTGGGTTCTGCGAAGCCCTCGGCGTCGGGCCTGGGTTCTGCGAAGCCCGCGGCGTCGGGCCTGGGGTCTGCGAAGCCCTCGGCGTCGGGACTGGGTTCTGCGAAGCCCTCGGCGTCGGGACTGGGTTCTGCGAAGCCCTCGGCGTCGGGGCTGGGTTCTGCGAAGCCCTCGGCGTCGGGGCTGGGTTCTGCGAAGCCCTCGACGTCGGGAGTGGGTTCTGCGAAGCCGTCGACGTCGGGAGTGGGTTCTGCGAAGCCGTCGACGTCGGGAGTGGGTTCTGCGAAGCCGTCGACGTCGGGAATGGGTTCAGCGAGGACCTCTGGGTTGGGAATGGGTTCTACGAGGACCTCTGGGTTCGGTCCGGGTTCTGCGAAGACCTCTGCGTCGGGACCGGGTTCTGCAAAGACCTCTGCGTCGGGACCGGGTTCTGCAAAGCCCTCTGCGTCGGGACCTGGTTCCGCGAAGCCCTCTGCGTCGGGACCGGGTTCTGCAATGACCTCTGCGTCGGGACCGGGTTCTGAAAAGACCTCTGCGTCGGAACCGGGTTCTGAAAAGACCTCTGCGTCGGGACCGGGTTCTGAAAAGACCTCTGCGTCGGGAGCTGGTTCCGCGAAGCCCTCTGCTTCGGGACCGGGTTCCGCGAAGCCCTCTGCTTCGGGACCGGGTTCCGCGAAGCTCTCGTCCATCGTGACGTCAAATAAAGGAAGTCCTGTTTCTCGATTAGCATCAAAGAATCCAATCGCCGAAGCAGTGTCTGCTGAAGGAAGCTTAGAAACTGTGAAGAAACTAGCGCTGAAAAGAACGTCTTGTACTGCGGCGGTTAATTCAGTGGCTGGAACTTGTAGACCCTCTCCAGTTGGGATACCTGGGCCGCATGTTTCCGATAAAACGGCCAAAGTTCTTGGTAAAGACAACCAAAGTCTGAGGCGGCTTTCGTATAATGCAGTGACGTACAGATCCAAAATTGGTACGAAGAAGACGAAAGAATGTCCTGCCGATGTGCGTCTGCTGCCGGAGTCTGAAACAAGAAAAGGGCTTACGCAGGTAAATATCGTCATCGATCTAGGACGGGTAAAGTTTTGTATTATCTTGAAGCTTGAAAATAGTAATTATAGGGTGCTGAAATTATTGTTAATTTTTCAATGGTTGACGGCAAAATGAAGTCGTTGCATTTATTTGGGTAAATGAGCATACATGTATATGATGAAAATTTCAAATCTTGTTTTTCAGACTGGAAAGTCCAGCTGTTCGGAAGATCGAGCTGTTGGGCTCGATATTACGTCAAGTGTTGGTCATATTCAGTCGAACGTTGCCATAGATGATGTGACGTTGCTGCAAATGATAATGAACAAGCAGAAACCGTCTATGACCGAGAAACTGACTTGGACAAGAACACTGATGCATTGGATCCAGATTCGCAACAATCGCCTCAGCTGCTTGATAGTAGAAATGACGGCAGTGAGGATTCGAAAGTTGCAGTGTCTCGGATTCCTGTTGCAGTGTCTCGGATTCCTGTTGCAGATGATGCTTGCGATAACCCAAATTCTTCAATGCCAGAGAACTCTGCCGAAATTTCTTCTCATGACTCTAGAAGCGTAATTCTCGGTCTTTCGTCCCTTTCAACTCGAACTTCCGAAGAAATTTTGAAACTGAAGATGCTCTCCCCGAGAAGAAGCTTGCTTACTCATAGCATGAGCACTGGTCAGCTCCTAGGATCTGGTATCTCGCGCAGAGGTAACTCTTCGGAAGGGACATCAGTGACACAATCACCCGTCTTGGAGTCAAACACCTCTAGTAGGGAGTCCCCTAGCTGTAGCCTCGAAGCCGTATTCGGCGTAAACGTCCGTAGAGAAAGCGTCCAGGCCACCGAAGGTTGCGAGTTTCCCCTTGCGCTTCAGACAGACGAAATCAAACGAGCGTTGAGCTCCGAAACTTCAAGCCGAGCCGCATCTGGAGAAGAAGCAGAAGCAGCCACTGAACTCGCTGAAGAAATAAATAATTTACAACTGACCCTAGAACATCCGTCAGCTGGCCGTTGGAGTGTCACTGATACCATTGATATAGTTTCAAATTTGACAGCCCCTCTCCCAACGAAGCTCGACAAAATTATGATGGCTCGTTTGTCAGATCGTTACAGACACGAAGCCCGGTCAGCGAGCGGGACTGATGCTACAGGTGTGAGTTCTACTTCTTCTACTCGAGCAGCGATGCTGAGCACGAGTCCTCAAAGAGATGGCGTCGAATCGTCGCACACAGAGCACGTGACTCGTGATCTCGGTGATGGTCAAATTGGTCTTATGGAATTGGGGCCCCGTGGAGTAAGTGGAGGGCACCGGAGCCCCAATCACGAAGAAAAAGTTTCCTCAACTGGATCACCAATTAAGGAAACTTGCAGGGTTTCTTCTAATTACGGTACATCCGCTTCAAACGTTTCAGCCACGGCAAGCGATGATTCACCCGAGTGTTCAACAAATGGTTCGTCGGGTGCTGCAGGTCCGTTGGAGACATGCGATTCAACTAGCGATTCGGCTCTTGTCAATTTGCGTTACAATTTTGGGGAACTTCACATCACGGGACAAGCAGACACGAGAGAGTACTCTATCTTCTTTCTGGAAGAGCACAAGTCTGTGTGGGATGCCATTCATGTACTTCGACTCGATGATGAGAATAAAAGGTTGTGGTTGAAGCGTGTAATAGAAATACTGTTGAAATATGTTGAGACGGATTTTTGTTACTTCATTCTGAAGTACGCAACGGAAGAGGAGCTAGATTTCCTTCGCGGCCATGCATCCCATCGTCAGCTTCGTACTCTGGAAAACATGATGAAGATCTTGCAAGAATTACAAGAGCAAGAAATTGAGTTCAACTAAATTTTCACGAGTAATTTTTTTCACAAGTTTTTAATACTCTTTGTCTCCAAACTTTTTAAAGAATTTTCATGCAATAGCAGTTCCTTGTACACAACCTTGCTTGTTCAAATAATTAAATTTTGGTTTCTTAATTTAATCTAGCTCGATGTTTGATGAATAAATAAACGTAGGAGTAGCTGGTCTCAGACGTGTTAGTTACTTGGTTTGCCAGATTCTAGGCGAGGAAATTTGTAACTTGAAAGCTGGTGCGCGGTATTTTTTAGCAGTGACTGAGCACTGCACTTTATTGGTAGTCAAAATTGCGAATTCAAACTGTTTTACGATCAACGCTTTGGAACGAAGCTAGGGATTTTTAATGAAGTAAATTCTTTTTCACCTTTTTCAACGATGGCATTTCAAATTTTTCGAACCTTTTTGCAGGATTAGCTCATTCTTGTCTAACGGCAACGTAAGACTAGGGTTGCCTGGTCTGGGTCGGTGGTATCAATGCTTATGGTTAATATTTACGATTTTATCATTTACTATGATAGTCAAGCACCAAACGATACGAGCTTCTGTGACTTCATGAAATCTGTTGAGTAAATCTGTTACGTTCGAAGATGTGGGGACCTCGAGGAATCCTAGTTAGTCGTGCCAGTTCAGCTACGTCGGCTTATGACGTCTCAAGAGGTGCTTTCCTTACCCTGTTTGAATTTCTTTTTGACTTTTGAAAATGAGATTTGCTAAGGATGAGGCAAACGGATGCTTATTTCCGAAATTTATTGGTTTGAAATGCTGCTCCTTGGGTTTTCGAAATAAATTACACGCTGGTTTCGCGAAGCTAGTGTCAATGTTCGTTGTTGAGGCTCGCAACTATACGTACGTGCCTACGTGGAGCTGTACGAGTTATAACGGAATACATGCTCTGCGATGAATGTAATTACTATAGTATGTTGGAATCCCGTTCGATGGAGCTATGTACATTGAGTACTTGGGACGCTTGTTGTAACCCAAAGAGTAGAACCAGCTGCAACAAAGCAAAATCTAATTCATCGAAAATCTTTTCGCAACTATCCTTACCAATCTGTACATTAGGGCAGTATAAATAAAATGTGAACTTTTAACGACGTCCACTGCCAAGTGTTCCGACGGAGAAATGTTCTACTCGATGTTCGTAGTGAAATCGACAAAATACCAAAGCAATAGCAGATGTATTGCCTGCAACCATGCACACTTATTATAGATAACCCGTTCTGTTTATACACAAAGCAGACTCGACATCCTGACTCAGTTTATCAGCTCTCGATTTCTCCCAGTAGCGATGGTTATAAAAAGTTTAAACATAGATCATGATCGAGTAAGAGGATTGCTTTTAAGACTGGAATTCATGGGAGATCTAGATTACGAAGAGATAGGGATAAGTTGTTTTAAAATAATTGTCAGGTATCATGCCTAATGTCGGCTCTCTGTTCCTGCCTTGCACAACGAACGGCATGATTGACGACTGATGTAATATTTATAGACAGTAAAATACAAGTACAGAGTATTATAAATAATTTTTTTGATATCGGATCACAATCTGACATCGGATCACATTACTCGGTTATGTTCTTGGTTAAAAAACAAGGTTTGTCATCGAGGTTATTTCCGTCATAAAGAACAGTTCATAAGTAGAATATTTGATGAGGTTATTACACGTCTATAGTTTACATTATGCACATCTAATTACTCACGGCTCCCGACAAATGTCATCATATATAAACATTTTACATCACCACGCTTGCTAATCATATTATTTCTAGAAGGGTAATATTCACTGATAAAAAAAATATTTCAATTAATTTCAGGAAAATGTGGTATTCTTGCTCATTCATAATTTTTTTAAGAGTTCACAATGTGTTCACTTTCCACGGAGCCATATAACAAGTAACCAGGTTGCCGCGGTGCTAAGTACATAATATAATTCTTAGAGTACGTACATAATCGAACAAAATATTGCAGGGGCTACAAATATTATATTCAAAAAGTAGCAATTAAACTCGTCTTTAACCATGCAGACTCGAAGATATTCTGATATTTACAGTAACACTTGAAAGTGTTAAGTAAAAATAAGTAAAAGTGAACTTCCGAACTAAAAACACACTGTTTTTATATTTCCATATAATAAATGTGTGCATTTGTTAACCGTAAAACACTTTTACAAAAATTATGTACATCTTTATACCTTTGACGACGAATAGCTTATTTATATTGACCGGAATGTCTTAATACATCAAAATCAAGTTTTTGGAATCGTAGTACAGGTAAAGTAACTTAATTTACGAGAACGCTATATTAATGGCGTATGCATGTGTACATAGGCCATTCAACAAGCTCTGATGAAGCGGGTGACAAGGAAACAGAGGTTTCTTAAAGATTTAAATAATGAACGCTTTCTGAACCTTTTAAAACTTTAATTCCGTCCTCAACAGCCTCACGACTAAAATTATAAAGGTTTTATTACTAGAGCGAAGACCTTGACTAAATATCGCGTAATGTAAAGTAATCACAAATACTCACCGTCACGTGCAGCAACAATTAGATATTATCTGCTAAGCAGAAATATTTATTTTGATTACAGTTTACAACGAATATCGGGAATCACGAAATTCAAATAGTAAAGCATGTTAGGGTGGACCATTAGCCGCTAGTTTGCTATGAAGAAGAATACAACTACATAACCACGGCCACGAGCTCTGCGGTGAAGAGACCAGCGGGACAAGAAGGAAGTGAAGGAACGAACAAGAGAAGGAAGAAGTGAAGGAGCGAGCAAGACAAGGAAGAAGTGAAGGAGTGAGCAAGACAAGGAGGAAATGAAGGAGCGAGCAAGACATGGAGGAAATGAAGGNGAACGAGCAAGGCGAGGAGGAAGTGAAGGAACGAACAAGAGAAAGAGGAAGTAAAGGAACGAGCAACAAGAAAAGGAGCAAACTGAGGAGTGATGTAGGTAAGAAGGAAGTGAAGTAACTAGTATCAGACTTCGGCGTGAAAGCACGGAGCCATCACAGGTGACCAGGTTGCAGCGGTGGGAAGTTGCTCGGATAATATCCTTGTAAAACAATTAATCTCGGCCCTCAAAACACTGTCGAGGTGAAATATGCAACAAATACCCTGAGCACAAGTGAACTGCCGCGTCAGTTGGAAATGTACTCTATATAAAAATATGACTTTTAGTTAACAATGATGCCAAAAAACGATTACCATGAATTTAGCCATGAAGAATAAGATGAAGTTCAAAGAAACACTTGATCTGGTATTATGTTTATGCTTTTTCATCATACGTATGATCTTTTCATCGAAAAATGAGATATATTTACGGTAAATATTTTTATATGTAGTTTTTTACGCATACATAGTCCGTATGCAGTTCAGGTCATCGTTTAACAGAAGTACATTGTACAAGTGCAAGGTATGTACACCGACAATTCAGCTATCTGACATAACATAACATAACATAATGATGTCGGCGCTGAAATGTAGGCCTGATGTGGCCTGTCGCCGATTCTTTTCCTTTTCGTGCCTTGTTATGCCTGATTCGTGCCTGACGCTTCGTTATATGTGATTAATTAGTCAACTGTACAGTTACAATTATTACAGTTAAATTTAGCACAGCTGATTAATCTCAATTGCCATTCAAGGGAATGTTTTCAAGATCTAATGGTGAAGCTCTTTAGCCATGCATTCTGATGTATCCAGAAAAGGGAGTGTTAGAAGCCTGTTGGTCACGGTCTTAATGTAGATAATTAAATGAAAAGTGAAAGAAATCAACCAACAAATGCCTTTTGACTCCTGCAATTAGGTTACAGTAACATCGAATTGACACAACTAGTTCAATTTCTTGAGCACCAACACGCAAAAAAGTTCTATTTGAAAAATTTTCTATTGAATTCGTAATTTCTTTGCTTGAGCAAAGGGTGGTTTGAAAATAACAGCCTTATGAATGTTATTGAAAGCTACACAGATTGTAACCTGTATATATCTTCATAAATATTTATACAGCGTAAGAAGCTCAACAACATTAACCTTAAACAGTATGTACTTTTCGTGTGAACGCTCAGAGCAATAATTGAGACATTGTCCAAATATTTATGCTCTGTTACGGTTATTTGGGTATGTCTGACCCAGTATGGCCCGGCAAAAGGCCGGATCTATACTTCCGCCCTCTGTTCGTTCTATGTATGTGAAATTGCACCAATATTCTCACAATAACCCCTTAATTTTTCTGAGTATAATGACTCAACAAAAGACTTGAATTAACTGCATACAATAATGTTGATACACTATATATAATTGCGATACTAAAGAGGTCAGTTAAAAAAATAATTTATAATTCAGGCCATCTTACCGCAGGGAATATATTTTCTCATTTATGGATGATTTTTTGGCAAAACAAACCAATGTTCATACATTTTTCGGCTAAGATTACATTAAACTCTTGGTTAGAAGACTCTCCGGCGTGGCCCATTGTTACTATGTTCACAAGATGGTTGAGCATAAATTCTAATAACAAGTAGATAACTTAAGAATGCGATGATAAGCGGGAATTATTATTTTGTATAGATGGATGCCTCCGCAGAAAGTAATTAAATGATCAAGTTTTATTAATTACTGATCGTTGAATTACCCCGTACTTGCATCCTTCGTCCGGTCTGAATACCGAGGCCGTGAAGATGTGTGATCTAAGCACATTTTTTTTCAGAAAAACACAAAACTTTTGTGTAAGTTTAAAAACACCTTCTCTGTAAATGATATTCTGCACATCACTGCCGCCATATCAAATGATGCCTTCGCAGAAAGTAATTAAAGGATCAAGTTTTATTAATTTCTGATCGTTGAATTACCCCATAGTTGCATCCCTCGTCCGGTATGAATACCGAGGCCGTGAAGATGTAGGATCTGAGCACACTTTTTTTCAGAAAAAACACAAAATTTTTCTGTAAGTTTAAACACACCTTCTCTGTAAAATGATATTCTGCACATCACTGCCGCCATATCAAAAAGCATTCATTATTCCTTCATAATTATTGTCATTTTAACTAAATTTTGAACAGCGAACAGCAAGAATGTGGCTAGATGCGCGGTGATCGCAGCGGCGCCGCTAGCCTCGCTTCTGTCGTTGACCCCAGCACCGTGGCTGTGCTGGGGCTGGTCCAGGTTACCTTGACGCATGTTCGGGTGCAGGAAAATGTCTGCAGAAAGTGAGAACCCGCATATTAAATTATGTTATCTCATTGAATATGAAATTCAGATGTTAAGCATCAAAGTAATCGCGAAGGAAGAAACAGAAAATGAGAAACCTCGTATTAAATTGTGTTATCTCGTTGAATATGAAATTTAGATGTTAGGCATCGAAGTAATCATGAAGGAAGAAGAATTGAGGTGAAATCTCAGTTTTGAAGCCAGTGAATAGACGGAGCGATTTTCGTCGTTGCCCAATCCTATTTGTGAATACATATTGATTTTAACCAGGTTCATATTCCTCATATTCATCTTTATTCGTCTCATATAATGCAATTTTTTTTATTCTTTTCTCGTTTACAAAAACAGAATGACAAGAAATTTTTACGGATATTTTGTGATAAACAAGAAACTTTCCAATTGCCTAAAAAATTGTATTCACATATAATTGCTTATTTTATTATGTATATCCTCGGTCCCCCACACGTGAATATTCCCCCCAGCCCCCGCCCCTGAGAAGAGAGGGAGTATTCGGCCCTCATAAATCTAGGTAACGAGGGACCCTCTTTATTAGCCGCTCCTTATGCTGATGTCGCATCCCCTCGTCGCATCAACTTATTTCGTGCTGCTTTTTAGCCTCCCAGGTTCCAGTGTTCGGTGTCTTAGTTTTGTTAAAGTTTACAATACAACTGTAAGCTTTGTCTTTAATCGGTTCATTTAAATGTGCTTTGATTATGGGTTCGTTCTTTTCCCCATGGTCATTTCAGTTTACTATGTCTCTGTTTACGGTGTCTTACAGTGTCTTACACAGTGTACGGTGTCTTAGTATGGTTTCAGTTTACAATACAACTGTAAACTTTGTATATAATCGGGTCCTTTAAATGTGCTTTGATTTTGGGTACGTTCTTTTCCTTATGGGAATTTCAGTTTACTATGTCTTTGTTTACGTGTTCTTCACTCCGTACAATTTGGGGTGCTAGGCCGCTGTGTACGTGTTACACTTCACTTAGTTAATTTCAGCTTACCATGTTTAACTTTGAGCAAGTAGCTCAGATATGTCCTTTTGCCGGCCTAAACTAGATCAGGATGACTCACATTAGGCAATAAAAGGCATAAATAGATGGACAGATGCTCACTCATTTTGCTAGGTGTGCGTCAGGGCACGCGCGGGGTGGGGTACGTTAGGGAAAGAGGGGAGTTTGGTACGTCAGGACATTGTACACTGAAGTTGTTCACTATAAACCTTGTATATGAATTTATTGGGGATGTGACTACCATCACAATGCACATGTTGAGCACGTAACTACCATCACAATGCCCGTGTACAAGCACACATTACAAAGCACATGTACAATACGTAACTACCATCACAACGCACGTGTAGAGCACGCGTTGTCTCGTATCTAGCGCGCAACAGAGCGTCTCAAGTATAGTTCAAGAAGAAGCTTCGTAATCCCGCTATGAAGTTTGAAGCCAAACGAATTTTGGCAGCATCGCAATGTTTCCAAGCGCGTAGCAAGTTCCTGATGAACTGAGTTATAATTAATGAAGTGATGAATGTTGCCTGCTTCGCCGTGAATGTTGTAGAGCAGAGTGTACGAGAGGGGAATGTTGAATGATTGTTGTTCCTTCTGTTGGATATCGTGGAGTACAGTGTTGAGAATTGGATCTTGACGTGAATAAAGGAGGTGATAAATGATAATTACATATGGTGATGAGTTAACATGGTGATGAGTGAACATGGTGATGAGTGAACATGGTGATGAATGAAATTTTTGCGCTTGAAGCTCTAGAGGAAAAAAAATTCCTATCACGGACAAATTATGGGAAATTTCATGGGGCTGGTGAGGGTGGCTGGTGAGGGTGGCTGGTGAGGGTGGCTGGTGAGGGTGGCTGGTGAGGGTGGCTAGTGAGGGTGGCTGGTGAGGGTGGCTTGGGGAGAAAATGCAGCGCGATACGATAATGGAAGAAAAAACAGTAGCTTATGATGAGGGATGATGAGTGAACAGTAGCTTGTGATGAGGGATGATGAGTGAACAGTAGCTTATGATGAGGGATGATGAGTGAACAGCAGCTTATGATGAGGGGATGTATGATAAACATTATAAGGCGATGATGAGACATGATTAGTGTGTGCTCTTTTGCCAGCAATTCGATCAGGAAGCGAGGCATATCAATAATTATTGATGAATAAATATAAGAAACGAAATGAATAGCAATGTGATACTCACCGTTGTAAAAAATGTCTATGCTCGGTAGCTCGGTTGAAGGTCGGGTGATTTCTGAAATTAATAAGAATACACTCATCATGAAATTATGTTTAAAGCGTTTCATACATTAACTTACAGTTGCTGAGTTCATACATTAATTTTATGTTGAAATAGAGTAACTATAGTTACACTGTAAAGTAAGAGCCGAATAAAAAACTAATGTATGAGTTGGCTGCGGGTTAATATGGATAATTTACTGATATTTCTTGTTACTTGAATTGATGTATTGATTTGGGGCTACAAAGCAGGATTCCGTTGAGTTGCGCAGTAAGGATCTTGCTGCTTAAATTTTATTTTATTTTTTTTTTCAAATGCATGCAGGATAGAATATCCATTAATATCTAGGTTGATATTGAATAGTTTTTATTATCTATGTTGATATTGAATATTTATTAAAGTCTAGGTTGATATTGAATATTTATTAATATCTACTGTAAGTTTGAATATTGATGTTTTCAAATTATGACTGTAATCATCGTACCGTTGAGCTGCACAGCAAGCTTGCTCCTAGAGCTGTCGTTGTTGATGGATTGAAAACAAAAATTTAGCAATATCTACTGTAAATATAAATTGAAATATTCAAAGAATGTCTTTAATCAACGTACCGTTGAGCTGCACAGTAATTATGGCTGTAAACAACGTACCGTTGAGCTGCAGAGTAATTATGGCTGTAAACAACGTACCGTTGAGCTGCGCGGTAAGACTCTTGCTACAAGAGCTGTCGTTGTTGATAACGAAAATTCGATAATATCTAATAATATATAATAATATCAATAAGTTTGAATATTGAGGTATTGAAATTATGACTGTAATGAACGTACCGTTTAGCTGCACGGTAATTATGGCAGTAATGAACGTACCGTTGAGCTGCAGAGTAATTATGGCTGTAAACAACGTACCGTTGAGCTGCACGGTAAGACTCTTGCTCCTGGAGCTGTCATTGTTGATGGTAGCGCTGCATGTGTAGGCGCTCACATCACCGGCCTGCACCCCGGCGATGCGTATCGTGGATACCACCACCGGGGGGGTGTCCCCCACCACAGACTCGGTCACCGTGTAGCGCCCGGCTGACATAATATAATATAATAAATATATGAGATAAATATTAAACATATTGGATTTCAGAATTTATTTATTAAAATACTTTCTTTTGATAATCTGTAAAATTCACGATATTTTGTTTATATTTAACTGTGCATGATACCACTTTGGCGGTAAGTAATCGGATACATAATTTAACTATATATATGTAACTTTGAAGCTAAGAATGTATATTTTTTTGTTTATAAATCTCAAATAATTCAGGGAAATCAGAGAAATGTTTAATGAATCCCGCAAATTCTGGAAATAATTGTACGCTTAAAAACAATAAGAAATAATGACATGCATGAAATATTTCTGAGATTATAAAATTCCTAGGTTGTTTGAAAATTATTGAGAAATAACCCAAATTTTAAAATGGAAAGAACGTATTGCAATTTTTTCGCAATACTATAAAACTCTGCCGTTATATCTTCATCCAAAATGATCATTTTTCCGCAGCTCACTCACCCGAGATAATCATCTTGCCGATCTCACATCCCCGGCCTGCACCCCAGCGATGCGTATCGTGGATACCACCACCGGGGGGGTGTCCCCCACCACAGACTCGGTCACCGTGTAGCGCCCAGCTGACATGGAATAATTAGTAATAATATTCAATGTATGAATATTATTGAATTAAATTTGAGAAAATTTAATGATTTAAATGCAAATTTGAATAAAATACTTATAATTGTTCTTTCGAACTATTAATTCAACGCCAATATTAATGGTGTTGATATGTGTTTGAAATAGACGTCTGAAATCATCTCGAACTATGAAAATGCTTAGCCAATGCATCATTTTTTCAATGAAAAGTATGTTCATCATCGATGAGACAATATATTGGATTAAAATATTAAATATATTGGACAATAAATAAATATATTGGGTTACCGAATTTATTTATGATAATACTTTCTTAGATGATCTGTAAAGTTGACGATATTTTGTTTTTATTTAACTGAGCATGATAACATTTTCACGAAAAAGATGTGAATACACAGGGCAACTTTATATATAAGCACCTTCGATGCTTAGAATGTATATTTTATGTTTAAAATGTGCAAATAATTCTGGGAAATTTGAGAAATGTTCAATGAATCCCGGAAATTCTTTAAATAATTGTACGCTTAAAAACAATAGAAAATAATTAATTACTGACGATATATCTAAGATGATATAATTTTTCTGTTATTTGAAAATTATTGAGAAATCTTTCACTCTACACAATTATTTGAATTTATTGTCAAACAAATGCACAATTCTCCTTTATGAGAAATCTTGGCACAATTGCACTTTTTGTGCAATACTATAAAGCTCTGCTCATATCTCCTCACCCGAGATAATCATCTTGCCGGGGCCCACTCACCCGAGATAATCATCTTGCCGGGGCCCACTCACCCGAGATAATCATCTTGCCGGGGCCCTATAATTATAGTTCATTATTACATTTATTATTGTTTTATTTATGATGATAACGAGAGTAGTTATTTAGTTTCAGTTAAGACTTCACAGAACAGAAAAAATGGAATATGGTGGAATAAAAATGGAATAAAAGTTTTATTGTTTATAAAATAGAATATAAGGTAATATAAATCGTACATATCGTTTATAATACTCATTAAAGCATATGTTGGAGCAATAAACGATTCGAGTTCATAGATAACTGCGGTAAGTAACAACCAAAAGAAAATATGTGAGTATATAGTAAATAGAAGCTATGTAGTGTGATAGAATCTATGTTAAATTATACGTTCTTTAAGTTATTATCTACAAGAAATACTTTGAGTGATACACTTGAGTGTTACACGCTCATATTTTGGTATCAAACTCGCAGCTCACTTTGAACATACAGCGCTTATTTAGCGCTGTATGTATGTAGCGCTTATTTACTAAATGCCTATGAGAACAAAAGCGTAATGTAACAGGCTGCTTTCGTATTTACTAGTAGCATTAACCATGTTATTTAATAATACAAATGATAATAATAAGAGGTATAATGGCCACACATAAATGGTTTAAAAACAAAACACAGACAATGACACCTAATAATACAAATGATAATAATAAGAGGTGTGATACAAACAAATAAATGGTTTAAGAACAAAACATAGACACTGACACCGGACGTTGAGCGTGATGCGCTTGCTGACAGAGGGCGGCACGGAGTTGTTGGCGATGCAGAGGTAGTGGCCCATGTCAGACCGTCCCGTGCTGACGTAGCTCAGCGTCGTCTTGGTCAACATCGTCCCGCCCTGGGACACCGTCTCGCTCACCACTGACCAAAGTCAGGACGTGTGAGTAAGTGACAGATTATTCATGTGGGTCCCGCCCTGGGACACCCTGGTCCCGCCCTGGGACACCGTCTCGCTCACCACTGAGCAAAGTCGGGACGTGTGAGTAAGTGACAGATTATTCACGTGGGTCCCAATAAGAATTTTAAGTTGAAATATCGTTGATTAATAATTATTCGATGAAAACAAGTCGTAATCAATGTTGTTTCACATGCATTTGCCTGGACTGACGTGTAATTTAAGTGGAAATGTTGAATAGTTTTCTGTAAATTGCGGTAAAAAAAGATTTATGATTCAAGTTTCTACTCGAGGTTACTAATGCGTTCACATAAAAGACTTGCCATAATTTTTAATTTGATTTCAAGTAAAAAAATGAACTCCTGTCCACATTTGTAGCGGAGATACTAGGCATTAAAGTATGCTTACATTGTGTTAACGATTTTAATAATACTAGGCACAGCACGCTGGCGCTTGAATTGAGTTGAGGATATAAAAAATATTAAATTATTTTACGGTTTAGTTCTACTTTGGGGAGGCGATACGTTGCTCTCGTTTTTCTTAATTCTTACAATTAATCGCTGGTAACGGGAGAGATTAGCGAATAATCTCGAACTTTAACACAAGAATGACATTTGTGCGGCTCACTTCTATTGCATAACTTGTAAGGTTACCATCTGTTTTGATCATTTTTCATCTGTGGCTGTTTTGATCTTTTCCTATTTAGTTATTTTGTAAAAATCTGTTCTTATGGATGGAGGAACGACGAGCTTTGTTCGATAAGACAGGCATGGTCTTATCGAACCTTATTTCAGAGAAGGCGCGTTCTTTAGAATTGCTCGAAGACTTGACATTATCGAACAAGTGGCGACAGTGCGAGCGTCTGAGTTCGATTGTGATACATAATTGGCTTCGGCAGATGCTAGCGCCTACAGTTTCGATGCACTTCAAAGCTAAATACGAGAATCACAACAACTTTAATTCGTTTTAGTATCAAAAATTGAAGTCGTTTCAGTAGGAAAAAATGTAATTCGTTTAGTAGATTCATTGCGCAGGGCAGTTCGTTCGATTTGAAAGATTGATTAAAGTGAAAAACTTCAATATTGCACAAACGAAATAAATTAAAATAAAAATAAAAACAGAGTCAGAAATTGTTGAAGGTTTTAACATAAAATTTTGTTGGAACTTTAATTTTTCTTAAATTCTAAGACAGTTTGATATGGAGCTGCTGTTTTTAAATTTTTATAAATATATTTCAGGAAATAGTTCTCATAGATGACCGTTGAACTTATCTTTGAAGCTGCCTGTGATCGTAATAAGCACCAAGCGTTAGTTCTTCATTAAAGGTTCTAATTAAACAAATTGCAACAAAGCAACTCCTCGCAAAACTTTCATCGGACTTGAAACAACTTTGCTGTAGAGTCTAAGCCCTCGAGGATAAACCACGAGGCTACGAAGGATCACTGATGAACAAGCAACTTGAAACTAACGTTACCTAGTCTTGAACTAGTAAAACTGCAGGACTTAGGAACGCTTGACTGTTTACATGGTTAGTTTAGTTACTGAACGTATCTTGAGGGACGAAAATGTAGGTTAGTTGAGCTATTGAACGAATTGAGAGGAACGAAGTGAAGAATTATTTTGATAATGTGCGTATTGACAGGAAAAAAATGTTTGGAAATAAAAATTGTAATTATTATAAGATAGAGAGAAGCAGTAAAGCGATTGTTAAAATAAGGGAAATAGATTATTGGTGAAGGATATAAAAAATATTATTTTGAAAAATGTCCATGGATGTAAGTAAAGATAAGTCAACAAGGAAGATGAATGCCATGCCTACCACGCCAGTGGCATGCAAGTCAGTGCATGTGAGTCAGTGGCATGCAAGTCAGTAGCATGTGAGTCAGTGACATGCAAGTCAGTGCATGTGAGTCAGTGGCATGCAAGTCAGTAGCATGTGAGTCAGTGACATGCAAGTCAGTGCATGTGAGTCAGTGACATGTGAATCAGTGGCATGAAAGTAAATGTCACGCAAGTAACTGGATGCAAGTAATTGATATGCAAGTAAATGTCATGCAAGCATGTTGTATGAAAGTAAATATGATGCAAGTATTTGCCATGCTTCAGTTTTTAAGTTTAGCCGCCATTTTAAGATGTAGTGTTGTTCATTGCCCGCGATTTCCCTCCTCCTCTTGTAGGCCTCGGGGGAAATTACACGGCCTACTTGCGAGTGATCATTTCTCTAACTTTATTCGCTAGTTTTGAATATTTATCGAACTTAAGTTTGGCGAAGCTTGTCTTGCTGCGATGTTTTTTTTTGTTTAGAGAAAAGGTGCAAGGAAAATCCAGAAACGAAGGCTCAATAATTGAGAAGAAAATAAACCTTAATTTAAGGTAATTTCATATTTGAAATGATTGGTGTAGTGATGCGTAAAATTACAACATCAGAAAATATTTTGTAGCTGTAAAATAATTTATAACTGCAGGACTAATCAGAATATGAAAATGACGGTCTATCTGACTGACGCTAATTATAGGAAATAAGTTAATAATCTTCGTATGAAGAGAACCAAAATCATCAAGTTTATCAGAACGATAAAACGCAGGTTCTTAGACAGGACCGATGTGGGTTGCAAGGCAGGATATGTTATCAGAAAGAAAGGGAGGTACAAAATTTGAATGATTTAAATGCAAATTTGAATAAAATAGTCATAATTATTCTTCCCAACTATTAATTTAACGCCAATATTAATGGTGTTAATATGTGTAGTTTGAAATAAACGTCTGAACTCATCTCGAACTATGAAAATGCTTAGCAAATGCATTATTTTTTCAATGAAAAGTCAGTTCATCATCGATGATACAATTTTAATCAATAAAATAACTAAATTTAGTCGGTAGAAAAAAATCTAAATCAAATCCCGGCTTAAAAATGGAAAAATATTTTAAATTTGAATTAAATCCTCTCAAATAAGAATATACCTTTGATAATACTTGTATTCCTGTAGCATTGAATTGATGACGAAGCTCGTTAATGAAACTTTTTAAAGAAAAACATAGGGGTTTTATTAATATCCCTGATATTTAAGTCATTAGAAATTTTGCGATCTTGCTGCGATGCAAGATCGCAGGTTCAAATGCCGTTAACCTAATATTAGGATAAACCATTGCCATAATTTGCTAGATCTTTTTGCGTAGTTAGAAAGTGCTTTAAATGATGGAGAAACATTAATTAATAATGAAATAATAATAATTTAATTTAAAATTTGTAACAAATTTGAGTAGAAGTACATGACACAAAAAAGTAACAAGATTCGAAGACAAACTTTGGGCAAATCTGAAGCGGCCTCATTTAAGGCATGCCAAACTAAAATTCCAAAACCATCCTCATAAATCCCAAAGAAGTCGTATGCCTAATCTAAACAAACACATTCATGCACTCACCATAGCTCATGGTGTTGACTTGAATGAGTATAAGCAAGTTAAAGAAGAGCTATAACTCATGGAAGCGTTGACCAGGAACGTCCCCGAGGGTGTGCTTGCTCCAGGGCCGCTGCAACACTTGTGAACACACTTCTTGCGCGCCCACCGACTTATATACGCGCTTCGCTTAACTGTGCTACCGACAATTAGGCTCTCTTACTCCAGGGGGAAAACTTTGAGCCTTTGCGCTCACAGTTTCTTTTGAAATCGTGGCGCTGCAAGTTTGAACTTAAGTTAAGTTGTTGTTGCTCTCAAACATCCGACGGTGACCACGACATCCGGCTATTGAGAGATACAACTTAGTATTGTTGATTCTTGTGAACATACATGTATGTACTTCAGAATATAGGATATTTATTGATTGTGTACCGATACAATCAAGAAAGCAGTTATAAGTAGAAATGAAATTGAAATAAGCTTTCATATCTATACCACAACTCATGGGCTACAATCACGGTCTTCTACTTTTGGAAAAAACTCTAGTTCAAGTAAATTAATATGTATAATTTCTATTTAATCCTCGCCCATTCTCTGTAACCGTTATTCACTTCTGAATATTTATTCATCAATGTAGACTACTGTCTACATTATAATATAGATTTTCTCATATATAAATCTAATTAAGTGCTACCGTTAATCTGTAAATAGTTTTTCCTTCTCTAGCATCTTATCTTAAAACTTAAGGCCTGCGTTCTCCTTCTCCAAGCTAGAGAGAACTCAGTATTTCCATCTAAAAAATATCAGAAAATCAGAAGAAGTGCGAGTTTAAAGTGTCTGGTGGCAGTGGTGGCCGCAGCGGCGATGCGTGCAGATAAGCTCCGTGTAAAACTTTACAAGATATACGGCCGCGCAATCTCTCCAAACGACGCCCAGTCTAGCCTCACTATGTTGCTCTGTTTTGACTTGCGAACGAATATTATCACTTATATTTATGAAGCATTTCTCATCGATGAATTGATGAATGACGTAAAATTATTGTTTAAATCGAGAGAATTTTTATCCTGAATAGACTTTATTTGTTGTGCAAAAAGTATTTTTTTGAATAATATATTTTATATAGTTTTTCCCGATAAAAGAATTCCTGGTCGCAAATTGACGTTTCAAATCAGACAAAATGGAATTTAGAAACCCTCTGACAAATAGCAATGCCAATGCGAAAACAAATTTTTTATTTCAGTACAGAAGGAATTTAAAAACCTGATTCCAACTATAAAAAAACTTATAAACGAAAATTCGCACAAGCATACAAATTCTCCATGGAAAATTCAGGCTAGGATATATATTCAGGCAACAGGCTGGGAATATTCAGGCTAGGATGAGATGCTTGTCGAGGTTCCTAGCTCGTGGCAACACAAAGTCCGAGGCTGATTTAATCTAAAGCCTCTCCAGACATTCGTTTCCATGGCACCCAGATTAAACCAACAAATTTCTCGCTTCCGGGAGCAAGAAAAACTCGGTGTCTTAACACATGCTTTGGGTGGCCGCGATTTTCCCTTTGGGAGCTCAAAGTTGACGAGAAAAAGAAGAAGGGATTCGAGACAGCTTCCGACACCTTAAAAAAGGACATGGCTTCAATTTTTTATTCAAAGAAAAGAAACAATGTTTAATTTCAATATAGCCTAGGTGAGGTTTAACGGAAGGTTTATGACACAACATTAGTTTCTTAAAATTTGTGGAGTAGGATATTACTGCAATATTAAATTGGTTAATGAGTGTAAAGAAGGAATCAAATTTGCCTCAATAATTTATCCCGGAAGGCTTTTAAGTCGAGGGTGTAAACGTCAACTTGTCTACGGATTTTAAGCCTGAGATTCAAGTATCTTTTTCGACGAACTATATGAACAAAAATATTTTCATATTTTGCGTTAGAATAGTTATGAAAGTATGAATTCATTATAGTACAAGGTATTCTTGAATAGTATTCTTGAAATTAAAAATAAGCAAATATTAGCCGACTGGAACCGAATATACTGAGTAACGATAACAAGAGCCGCCCTTCAATGAGCAAGATGCAATGATCTATTGTAGGAAAACAATTATTATGTTTTAAATGGAATTAAAGCTTCAGTAAACAAAATTTACGTGATTGAGTTGCCAATTGAATTAAACAAAATGAAGTTGCCTCCGACATCTTTTCGCAATAAAATTCCATTATTTCGTCTCAAAGCTTCAGTGTACACTGTGCGGCCACAAGGAGTTGGAAGCCAACATTTTATCAGTTTAAAAAACATGTATAAGTTGAAATAATAGTTGTTGAAAATGTAACCTTGCTTTGCAAAGGAATTTTAGTTATTAATGATTTCCATAATACGCTCGCTCTGAATCCCTTTTGATAGCATTGAAGTACAGGGTGCGGCGTGGGAACTTACTCTTTTAAAAAAATCACAATCCGCCCTTCAATGAGCAAGATGCAATGAGCTATTGTAGGAAAACAATTTTTATGATTTAAATGGAATTAAAACTTGAGTAAACGAAATTAACGTGATTGAGTTATAAATTAAACAATATGAAGTTGCCTCAGACATCTTTTCGCAGTAAAATTCCATTATTTCGTCTCAAAGCTTCAGTGTACACTGTGCGGCCACAAGGAGTTGGAAGCCAACATTTTATCAGTTTAAAAAACATGTATAAGTTGAAATAATAGTTGTTGAGAATGTAACCTTGCTTTGCAAAGGAATTTTAGTTATTAATAATTTCCATAATACCCTCTGTATCACTTTTGATAACATTGAAGTACTATGGTCTGATATTACGTATGGAAAATTTCCAGCGACGATACATTGAAAAAATATGAGTATTAAATAACTGAGAAATTTAATTCAAATAACTCACTTTCGAGCAAAATTTTCTCTGACAAGTGAATATAGTTTGATCTAAAATTAACTTGAACCTTTTTTGGTAAGTTGTAAATTGTTTTTTTTTATCTGAACCACAATAATTCACGCCAGTTTAATCAAGATAAAATCATTACTCTGGTAATTCAAACGAATTACCCGAGTAATTGTTTCTGTCGGCAAAATGAATTAGATTCGTAGACGTCTAGATGAAAATAGTGCCCAAATTGCCCTAATATCTGAATATCTTCATCCGAGCACTTGGAACTGATCTGCATTATTCAGCATCATTTCTCTATTGTGCGTTATACGCAATAACACCGGCAGGCATTGTGTGCCTGTGCTTTGCGAGTCGCTTTCATCTGCTCCCAAGGTTGTGGAATGTGCTCGTTTGGAATGAATCTAAATTACAAGTTTATTTAAAATCAAATTAAGTGCAAATCGAACAATATCGATTTAATACATAGAAGTGTCCCGTTATATTTTAATAGCAATTATGGTTAAGGACAAATTCGTAAATATACAAGTTGCGATATTCTTTATTTCATTGACGATGAAAAATAAAACTATAGAAATATTTTCATTCCAGTGGTTGGGAATCTTCAATTGATCTGTCGATCGATTATAATGAAACGATAATACAACGTTTAGAATTTAATGGTCGTGCACCACGAATACTGAAGTCGGTTTTCTTTCAGTCAGCTAAGTTACATTAAATTAATTTGTAATGTAATTACATTACATTAGTTACATTAAATTCTCTTAACAGACATTTTGTTCACGCAACAAATTCAACAAACTCTCTAGTCACTCAACCGCTTTAAGCCACCCCAGAGTTAGCCAAGTCACCAGCCTATAGGCATTGAAGTCCCATAGTTTATTTTTATTTTCATAGTTTATATTCAATTCCTCAAGCCTACAGCCAGCCATGTCGCCTACATGGTAGTCAGCCAAGTCTCCTACATGGTAGTCAGCCAAGTACCCTACATGGTAGTCAGCCAAGTCCCCTACATGGTAGTCAGCTAAGCCCCTTACCCCTAAACAACAGAAATTCCAATTGTTTTAGTCAGCCCAAATATTAACCAATAACATGCAAAGTCCCCAAACCCTATAATCTGCAAAATCCTTTACTAGTTAGAAAACGGTAACAGCCACCTTAAATGTCAGCCAAGTCCTTAAATACATAGTAAACCTATGATCCTGCTCTATTATCAAATAAAGCTTCTGCACTTTAGCGATGTCAACTATCATTATGACAAACAGATGTCAGCTATAATTCAGATCCTAAAAGTCCTCTACAATTGAATCGGTGATGTCAGCAAGCCTTATGATCAGCAAAGTCCTCAGCACCCAAGTCAGAGTAATGTCAATCATTTCTATGATCAGCAAAGTCCTCAGCACCCAAGTCAGAGTAATGTCAGTCATTGCTATGATCAGCAAAGTCCTCAGCACTCAAGTCAGACTCCCTCTTCCCCACCCGCAGTCCCCGCAAAAGCCCCACGACACAAAAGCCGCCACAGAAAGTCTGAATTTTTGACGCGGCTGTAGGAGCCGGTAAGATCGTCCGTTGTTTCACTTCGTTAATTATTCTGGGCGGCTTGGAAGGCGCTAACGCACTCGTGATGCCTCAACAAAGCTTCCTGTAAACAATGACGACAAAAATATCGAGCAATAGGCGCTCTAAGTCTTTCAAACGCCGCAAAATTATGCCAGTTTTGGTTAACGCTTTAAGTCCAGACAAAGTCGAATCACTGCGGCCCTAAGTGATTCTTATGAGCAATATTTACATTAAAATAATACAAAAGATGTTGAATATTCATTAGAATTTAATCTGCTTAAAACAATAAGGAAGAAAGATAATTACACCGCGTTATCCTTACCCTTGATTTTGAGGTGCTAACTAAATTTATGAAAGCCCGGTATTCTTGAATAAATAAATGGACAAACTATGGGTTTAAGTGCGGCTTCCTATCTATAATTTTAATTCTTCATGTATTATTATTGTAAAATTTATTCATTATTTGGAAGTTGTTAAAAAACGGCATAACAATGTCATGAAAATGGTAAAGTTACGCAGAGTAAACAAGAAAATTTTTTACGATGAAGCATAAACGGTATAATAATAGGATAAATTAGCATTAAAACAACATACAAACAGCGACAAAATGCCTTTAAAAATGATGACAATGCACAATGTAAAATTGGTTAACATACCCGAGGCGCCATTAGCTCCCCCCCGCCGTATGAGGATGCCGTCTTCCCTCTTGAAGCGGACCGTTGGGGCGGGGTAGCCCGTGGCGTGGCAGTGCAGCGAGGAGGGCGAGTCTTCCCCAACCTCCACGTCCCCACTGGTCTCCCCGTCAACGATGTTCGGGGGGACTAACGGTGTATGGATTTAGAAACTAATATATTTTTTCTCCATGTGAAAGTTTATCTTAATTTAATCATAAAATATGTTAGAAATTGATTCTATAAATGAACTTGAAAACTTTTCATTTTTGAATGCAGATTCAACGAGTTTGGGTGTATGTGTTAGAAAAAAAAGAATGGAATTCTCCGGATAAGCCTTATCAAATCCGGTGTTAACAAAGATAAAATCTGTCACTATGAGTTCAGCAACAACAATGTACAGTCAGTGGAAATCGAAATGTATTTGTGTCTACTTGACGCGGCATTGTTAATAACTTAACTACTGCTTATTGATACTATGTCAATTTATTTGGGTCCGTTATAATATTTTAAACCTAAATTATTGGATGTAATTAGCAACCTTTATGACCTCAGCAACTTGAATATGCGAAAACAATACGAACAAAAATTACCTCGTTAACTTCAATATTTGAAAAAAAAAACATTGTCACACGCTACCATGACTCACCAATGACCTCCAAGTACCCCTTATTAAAGAGCATGGGTATGGTGTTCACTTGACACATGTAGTAGCCTCGGTCTGCCAGCTGCGTCTTGCCGATGTGTAAGAACCAAGTGTTTGCGTCGCTGTGAGTCACGCGGAGTCTGTAGTTCCGGGAGATCATCGTCTCTTCGATGGATAAAAGCGTCTGCGTGTCAGCCTTCACCCAAGCAACCTGAAGATAAACAAAAGAAAGCTAATCTACACGAAAAAGTGGAAAAGAAGTGTTGACAGTTAAATGTTAAAATTTGAAACTGAAGGGGAAAAAGAAAGCAAAAATTTCCAGTTGTAAAACTTTATAAACGGCAGACACGCCATTTTATTTGGAAGTTGAACGACTATTTTTGAAATGTGATATAATAAGGTTTCAGGAACTTTGTTCGTTTTTGCATCAGCCGTTTTTAGCCACGGGCTGGAGCTCAGTATCCACCATAAAACTGGTCCGTCATGGAGTTTTATAGAACCGTATAGGCGAACTACCAAACTAGTCTACCACCAAATTATCCCTCAACCAAATTAATCCAACACTGAGCAGGCGTACAAACTGGTCCACCACCGAGGTAGCGCACCACGAAAGTGGCCCAACATCAACCGGGTGCACTATGAAACAGGTTCACCACCCTCAAAAAACCATCAAACTGGTTCACTATCAATCAGAGGCACCTTCATACCGAAAACTAAATTGCTCTACCACCAAACAGACACCACCAAACTGGTTCACTTTCAAACAAACGCACCACCAAACTGGCGGCCCCGACAAACAGACGCATTATCAAACGGGGCCCCACCAAGCAGATGCACCATAATTTTGAACCACCACCTAACAGACGAACCACCAAACTGGTCCACCAACAAACAGACGCACATCAAACTGGACCATCACTAATTACCAGATGCACCGCCAAACTGCTTCACCACCCACAGGCGCACCACCAAACTGATTCACCACCAAACAGGCGCTCCAGCAAACTATTTCACCACCAAATAGACGCAACACCGAACCGGTCACCACCAAACACACGCAACACCAAACTGTTTCACCACCAAACAGGCGCACCATCAAACGCTTCACGACGACGAGCACAAAGCCATCCGTTTGGAAGGCGTTTAAAACTTAGCACATAGCTGTACGGTGAAGGCCAACTAACTGCCGCATGAAGGGAAACAATGTAACGGCGCTATGCAAATTGTTCTCATACGCCCGCCGCGCCGCAAACTTGCATAAAGCTTCGGCTTGTATTCTCCGCTAACACATCGCACAAGTGCTAGGTTCTGAACGCTGCCGAACTACTATGCGAACTCGCGCCATATGAATGTAAGCCAAACGATATTAGGAAGCCGAAGTGGGCTTGCAGAAAGATTCCTCACAAGAAAGCCGAGTTTTATTATGATCTTTACTAACGTGGAATATTGATGTGTGAAGACTGATAATTGATTGTATGAATAAAAAAAATCGGCTGAGTAGTAGGCGGTAATGAAATTTTTTTTCCAAAGAATTACCATCAAAACTACAAACAAATGCTGACACGCAATAAAACGAGATTTACTCTTAAAAACATCATTCACATATAAGTTCTATCAAAAAAATGAATAGAAGGTTTTCGTAGTGTGTTAATTTTCAAATTCTTTTGGGAGTAATTCGCAAAGTCATGAATGTGGAGAGAAGGAATGGAGAAGCGCATCATTATTTCTCACTAACTGAAACTACATTTAGTAAATCGAAAAAATTTCCTGGAAAAAATTCTTTATAACCATACTCCCCATCATTTTCCAAATAAAAAGAATGATTGACCTCAATTCAAGAGAATTACAAATAAGACAGGGTCAAACGAATGTGTCTTGAAACTGAGACTACATTTGGTAAATCTAAAAAAATTTCCTAGAAATATTCTTAAAAACCATACTCCCATCATTTTCCAAATAAAAAGATGATTGACCTCAATTCAAGAAAATTACAAATAAGACAGGGTCAGACGAATGTGTCTTGAGCAGAGACAGCTTGCGGTAGCGAGGGAGCGTTTCTTTGACGCTTCTATAAACACGGAGAAGTTTGGTAGGCTTGATACCTGCCTGCCTAGCAGCGATGCCCGCGTCTAACTTGCCAACAACGAACCAATTTGTGGCCGACTCGTGGGACGTCCTGCTACATCATCCCACACCCTAGATGAGGGGTGATGATGGTGTGGTGTGTGAGACTTGTGAGACGTCCTGCTACATCATCCCACACCCTAGATGAGGGGTGATGGTGGTGTGGTGTGTGAGACTTGTGAGACGTTCTGCTACATCATCCCATATCCTAGATGAGGGGTGATGTTGGTGTGATGTGTGAGACTTGTGAGACGCCCTGCTACATCATCCCACACCCTAGATGAGGGGTGATGGTGGTGTGGTGTGTGAGACTTGTGAGACGCCCTGCTACATCATCCCACACCCTAGATGAGGGGTGATGGTGGTGTGATGTGTGAGACTTGTGAGACGCCCTGCTACATCTCCTAGATGAGGGGTGATGGTGGTGTGGTGTGTGAGACTTGTGAGACACCCTGTTACATCATCCCACACCCTAGATGTGGGGTGGCGTTTGGGTAGAGAGGTGGCAATGGTGTGTTGGATGGATGTTATGGAGGGATGTGAGAGGGTTTCAGTGTGACGTCTAGTAAACTATCAAATAAATTTTTAGTTCTACGCGTGAGGTTGTGAATGTGCGGCATTCAGATGGAGGGGGCGTTGATGATATACATGTATGTAGCTTGCATGTTAAGATGTAGTGGGAAGACACGTGGACTTGGTTGAAGGGTGTATGTACATTGCATAGTGGCGGTGTTATATGTAGCGTATTTTTTGGCTGAGGTTATCATCCTGTTATTTACCTAGGTATTATACCAGTGAATTAACATGCAGATGCCCAAATTGCGAAAGGTCTTTGTGAACCACATGAATGTATCGTTTCAAAACTTCTCATTTCAACATTTCTTTTGAGAAACCCAACTACGAGTAGGTTTATGACATGAAGGAAGCTGTTAAATGTTTGGAAGCCTGCAAACTAAGGTGATCTGCTCAAATTTTATGGCGGCACAGTGTGATGCTGAAGGTTCTTGTTGAAGTTGTTTACAACTTATAGCGAAATGCGACTTGCAGGATTGCGGAGAATGTAGATTGCATTTCTTGAAGGTTGCGGCGTAAAAATGTGCAAAATTTATGAGAGCACTTCAATTTATTTTATTGATATTCATTGATATTTGTTAGTGAAATTTAAGGAGGTAATAGACAACTGCAAATTTAAATTCTGTCGCATATCTAATTTAAATCGAAATACTTTTGCAAGCCGCTAAAGATAGTCCATTCAATCAAATAGTTGCTAGAATGAAAATTTTTTTACCTGTATATTTAGGAAGTTGAATCGTTAGCGTGATTGATCGTTTGATTTTTCTGTGTTTAAAGCTTGAAGCTCGGTATATGTTTCGACTTGACATGTTTCGTATTCGAGCGCTCGTCTACAATACTACCGGGACTTGAACTTTTGCTTTTGGTGAAATCATTAAGCATTTCAAAGCGGGATACGGATGAAAAAAGTAAAACATTGTCGAATTTTAAATAAAGTAACCTAAATTTTAAATAAAGTAACCTGAATTTGATAAAATAATTACCATTCCCTTCAAATTGAATAAGAGAACGATATACGAGGTTTCCGTGATTATTATTAGTGTGCGCGTTTTTTTTCAAGTTTTATAACTATAATTTGAAATTAACATTGCAGCAGAAAAGGTAATTTGATTACCAAATCTTGAGATTCCTCGATCCCAAGCCTCGCCGGTATTTACTAGCAGTTAATTAACGAATTTCATTGTTGGAAAATCTACGTTTTATTTAACAGCAGATAATTGCGTAGCTCGATTGAGGAATTTGACTTATGATGCATTGGAAAAAGCCGCAAATGGCAGCATCACTATTCGAAAAAAAGGTATTTGAACTGATCTACAAACAGAAAAACCGTGAGTGTAGATAGAATCATTTCTCGACATTTTTATTTTAGCAAAGACTTCCAGAATATAAGTTTTAGTTTAAGTATGGATGAATGGAGAACCTGTCTATTTAGAGAGTCTTATCCTCTAAGACTTCATTCGTAATATAAATAGAAATTTTCGCTATTGAATGCGACTCGAAATGATAGGTCGCCTCAGTACAGGTGAGTTGAGAGGCTCAGGTCCATGAATGACGTTGGGGAACAAAAGCAAGGCTATGGAGGTTTCAGTGGCTTCAGAGAGCCAGAAAAAACGCTGGACAAGGAATGCCTTTGATTCTGTACAAATTAGGTTAGCAATGCAAAGGTAGTGCCAGAAAAAATCGAGGGAGCGGAGGTAGAGGTGCGTGTTTTGCACAGCTATTGTGTTTGATCAACCGCGGTGTGAAGCGCTAATTAGCCTTCGCCTGAGGCCGAATAATGAGGAGGATTGATGTCGAACGGACCAATTATTCGACCAAAAGTTGTTACCTAAAAAGTTATTGAAAATTTTGGTCCCGGGATGCATTCAGAGTTTCCAAACAACAGCGCCCGTTCCTGAGATTCCTGACTATTTAAATAATACATTGAATTGATATCACGGAAAATTATTTGCGCAGACCACTATTTTATTAGGGAACGAGAATGTATTTAGTTCTGACGAAAGCTTTGTTACAGATACAGGTAAGGCGCGGTGCTTTATAAACCCTGAAATGCGGATCTAAATTATTAAGCATTATTTATGATACATGAAAAGCTAGAACAGTAAACTGGGACGCGGTAAGTAATTTCTTTACATTTCAGGATTACACAATAGGAATATAACTCAATTCGCGGCCTCAGGTGCGAATAAAAAAGTATTTAGTTTATAGAGAAAATGAAATCTCGACCGAAGAAAAGTAAATATTCTTGCACATATAATTACACTAACAAAATTAATACAAATAAGACAGCCCTTGAGACAGCCTGTGTAGAAGGATGTCTCAACCTTAAATACTTTATCTCACCTTGTCAAGTTTAAACTTTTTATTAGAGTTAATTATTCTGGCCTATTGTAGTTGTATAAGTTTAAGGGCGCATGCATTCATGATAATTTTTAGCGCTATGTTGTTGATGACGTCACTATGTATGTGAAATATTGCTATCTGAAGTTAGTGATAATTAATTAATCTATTTCTCTAGAAGTATTACCTTACAGTTGCTGATAGTCAATCTATTGACATGAAATTCTCTAAGTTATTGATGGTGTATATATGTGCGTTGCAGTATAACCTTACAGTTGCTGAAAGTTTATCTATTGACATGAAATACTCTCTCTAAGTTATTGATGGTGTATATATTTACGTTGCAGTATAACCTTACAGTTGCTGATAGTTTATCTATTGACATGAAATACTCTCTCTAAGCTATTGATTGTGTATATATTTACGTCTAAGTATTACCTTGAAGTTGTTGGTGTGTTCCCCCGAACACTTGAGGCTGCTCACTGAACACTTGAGGGTAGCGTCTCTTCCCCTCACCACCGTCACGTTGGCCACGGGCTCCGTGAAGCGAGGTAGAGGGAAGTCGCATCCCTCTGTTAACGAGACATGCTTTGTAAATTATTTATAGCAGAGAGACATCGCATGAGCTGTAAAATTTTATTTCAGCATTGCAAGAGGTACCAAAGGTTTCTTCCGAGGGTATGGACATTTATTCTATTGGTGCAAGCGGTATTAAGGTGTGATCCAACAGTACGAAAATGCATTTTCAAGGTACAAATGGTAGCCAAGTGTTATCCGAGAGCACGAAAAAACATTTTAATTGTGAATGTGGTTGAATTTCATGTATGAGACATTTGTGGAAAGTGTTGATTATTTTGAAAAAAACACGACTGGAATGACACAAATTTGCGAGGAAAGTATGTATGATTTTAGGTGGTATGGAATTTTAATAGTTTTAAATTAAATTTTGATAAATATAAATTGCATGACTATAGATTGAAAATAAATGTTTGCGGGCTCGTATAACCTGCGTTCTAATTTTAAATCACATACGTCCATGGTACCAGGAATTATTGCTGTAGAGCCTCCAATTAATCATTGTAAACATTGGGTGGGCAAGACTGGGCAATTTTATAGCAAAAATACTCTTCGCATTAGTACAGTTTTCGGTGCATGCATATTAAAGTTTGGAGAATAAATGTATACCTGAATAATTTTCTGCAAAATTATAGGTTAAGATTGTTGCAGTGGAAAGCAAAAGCACATTTTCCAATGATATCTTCAAACCAAGAATAAAACGTTGTATGAACATGTCATACATTGTTAGAAGTTATATATATATGAATAAAATTATAGAAGCAAGTTTGCACACACGTGATAGATGTTCCGAGTGCCTGGTGAACGATTTGACCGTACGCGGTACTGACACAACACAACAGAATAAAAAATGTTATATTAATCAACTCTGAATGAAATACGTCTAGCTTTCTAACAAAATACGAATACTCATAATTGATATTCAAATATAGGCTCAATGATTTACGGTACAAAGATCGCCCTATAAGTTGTCTTAGTATAAATCACCTCCGTTTTATAAATATTTCGCTGCATAGTTACAGTTTTTACATTTAGAGCCTCAATTTTACACATCTGCCCTACGTGTTGTCACACTAGCCCTAATAGTTTACGATCAAGTCTTTAACCACAGGTTCTTTTCACACGTCGCTGGAGGAAAATTAATTGTTGTAGCGGCCACAATGATCTCAGAGAAAACTGATGGCGCAGGCCATTGTTAGGGAGAACTTCAACAAATCGATGGCGAGGACAAAAGTGAGGCCGGCGTTTAGAAGCTGATCACGACACCCTGGCCACAAACACGGAGCTTTGTCGCAAAAATGTCGGTCAGCTGAGGGAGCGTGAAGCGTCTGAGTGATTGGCGACTCACGGCAACGAGTGAGGGAAGCTCAATGTAAAATAGTTACAATGATGATAATAAAAGTTGGGTGATCGTGTTACACGATTATAATTTTAGTTTATTTCAAACAAACGGAGACACCGGAGTGAAATAAATAAGGGAAATAATATTTTTTTTACTTTAAATGACTTTCTACGTCGCATTTGGTGCACGTCACAGAATACGCGTCTGCGGCTGCTCCATTTTTTTTTCATTTTTTATTTGCATATAAAATTATAAAGTTCAGAGACGAAAGGAATCGCTCAACACCCGAGAATAGTTGATTGAAAGAAATCCTCATGCATGCAGCGGAAATCACCACGGAAGTTTATCTTAATTTGTATATTTCATATCCTACATCATATATTCTGGAGTAGTTATTTTTCTTGCTTATGGCAATGTTTAAAAAAGAGGATCAGTCGAGTCTGACCGGTTGTGTTACTTAAAAATGGCGATATATGCCCCAAAGTGGCATGTGAGCTAGACTAGTCATACTATTTCTCCATTTCACACACGCTGTTAAAAGTAACAAGTTTGTAAATTTTACGAGTACCTAACATAAACGGATTTTCAACTATTAATAAATCTGTGAAGAAGACTTTGGTCTGCGAAACCTGAAGCCCACATCGTGCTCTGAATAGTTCCATTGCCTGAGAGCTATAATTCGTCACCGTACAATGGTCGGCTAAAGTTCCTATCCTGGCTGCCGATTGCGGTTTATGGGGCCATCGTCATTGCCTAGAACAATGCCTGGCAAAAGTTCTCCCCTAAACGCTGACTGTAACACCCCAAGTTCTGCTTAAGGAATTCAAAGCTTCACTCCAAGAAATCTCCCGAGATTTAGGACGCAGAAATCTGGAGTTTTTGTTTCCAGGAGAATTTATTTAATTTTTAGCAGATTTGTATTTTTCCGATTTCCTGCACGATAATTGTGAGGTTCAATTATTAAATTAAATAATTCAATTATTTGCAGATATTAGACACTTGATTGATGACTCAACTGCCTTGCTGTTGCATCAAAGAACATGAAATTTAAACTCAGGTATTTATTAAACGGATTTTTACTGCCCAATATAATTATATATTGCACCTTATCTCTAAACCTGTTATCACTCAATATCACCCATATACTAGTGTACAGTGCACAAATTTCACAGTGTACAACTTAAACAGTGTATAAATTACTGATTGAACTTTAAAAACATTCTTCTTCAATGTTTCTTCCTTGCCATACCATAATTTGCATTCAACTGAACCCGATGCACGCATGACCATCATAATTCCTCACGTATCTATATTCAGAGCTGGGCAGCGCTACTTTGAAATGTAGCTGCCACTATAGCTACCACTACATGCTCTAAATGTAGCGGGCGCTACCGCTACAATTGCTTAAACGTAGCGCCGCTACCGCTACTGCTACTGAAAATGTAGCGGCTGCTATTAGCGGCCGCTACATATAGCGCGCTACTGCCCACCTCTGTCTATATAGTTTGCGTAAGCATCACAAGTTCATTAGCTAAAGATTTTGGGTCCCTCAGTTCTTTGTAACCACAGACGTTACAAAGCAAGACGAGCACCAACACGTTGTGATGTGCTGAACAAAAGCCTCCTCGTTACCTGCACAGCTTGGAAAACAAGACGTGGGCTACGTGCATCGACAGCCGATGCAGACGTGCAAACAATGAACGAGATTCTTCATTAATGTTAAGAGATGACAGCCTATAAACCTCCACTGCAAAATTATTTGTGCCAGTCCAAATCGCGTGATCCAGGTGTTCCAGCAAATGTAATAAATAATTTTTGAACTAATATGACTTTTTTCACTTAATATCAAGTGTACTAGTGAAGTTTGAGTACACGACTTTTCCGAAAAAATTAGTCTGTTCACGATAAAATGCGGATCCAACTGACACATGCAATTTATTCCCAATAACGCAAATAGAATTAACTTAACAGAAAGTCTATAAATACTTTTTAGAAGTCAAGCAACTTATCCCTCAATGAATTTTGAGACTAGAAAATATTCAGAGTACCTATTGAAAAATCAAGCAAATTCTCTATATACGTAATACAATCAATTATCCTTGCATTATTGAAGCGTCATTAAATTAATGAAATCTTGGCATTTACTCTAAATATTGCGGTGATGGGTCGTTCCTAAACGGGTCACACTAATTTTAAACATTAATGAGCTTTTTATAAGTCATGTAGGTGGCTTAAAACGATGTAGTTTATGCAATCAATTAATAAGTTTCCAGTGCCGGTAAATGAATTCTTTTTGTTCGAATAATTCGCTTAAAAAATGCTATAATTTGAACAGTTCTCAAATTAAGTATTTATTCGTCTAACCATGAATATTCGCTTTAAAATCACAATCGCTGTTTTTCTAATTACTTATATTAATGCATAAATCAATGGTCGCAGAAATGAATACTTGAGGTAAATTCGTAAACTATTTATTATATTAAACTTATTTCATGAGCGGTAGCTACTGCAATTACATAGTGGTGGGCGAAGCTCGTTACCCCATATCTATAAGCACAGCAGATGCAAATGAATTTCAGTACTTTCAATCAATTACCATCAATTGATCTTTGGCCTCACGAAAAAAATCTGAAATACAAATTAAATAGGGAACCATCATTGGGGAAAACTATACCTGTCAGCGCGGAATGCCACGTGCTCAATACCCCAAAAGCCCTGGGGAAATTCCGATGAGAGACGCGCGACAGCGTCGTAATCTGGGGAAGTACGGTCTGGCTTGGCGATAGAATTACCCTGAGTGGCTGCCGATGATGCAAAATGGCAAATTTAAATACCAATGAATTTACCGATGCACAGGGTTGCACTTCCATGGGCTCTCAACGACTAGCACACTTATGATTTCGGAGCTGAAACTCAGTGAATATTGACGGGTGTTCAAAAAATTTGATAAAGCATAAAAATTTGGAGGTATTAAAGAAACTTAAGCAGATTATCGCATTAAACAGTCTCTGTTATAAATTAAGATATTATACACGTAGCACTGTGAATGCCTTGCTGAATTTGTTTACCCCTTACTAGAAATTGTGTTCTACGGCCGCTGAATTTTAAAATCATCGTTCCAACTACTCAAATAAATAAATAAATAAATAAATAATACGACTTTCCAAATTGTGATTACTTAGAACTAAATCTATTACAAATAAAAAAAATACAAACAAGGCCTTAATTCAATAAACAAACGAAAAATTATAACACGAATTAAAAAAAAACACCTATAAAAAAGGTCCCCCAAAAAACTTTGCACGCACTCACACTATCATTTATAAAATCTGAACGTAATTTAACCCTTTATTAAGACTTCGTTGTTGATTGTAGCAGATAACAACAAGAATTCGGTAAAACTTGTAAACTAGCACTTGCAATTTCGGTCCATCATTTGTTCAGGGTTCCCCACACCTTGATCCAAACCCAAATTCAATGAAGGGAAAGCTTTCGAAAGAATTCGTCTCGCATCCGACGACTGTGGCAGTCGTAACGTTATTTTTATCAATACATTTGAGTGCGTTGACTCTTCATATCCAGTAAAACGCCCATAAAAACTCCGACCGCATTACGACCCAAAACTTCGTCGTCGTACGGTTCCGAATTTTATCT